GGGTTTTGACAGGTAACATGGACCCACTGAGGTCTTTTTGTATGAGCTGTATTGACTCACAGGATCACGACTTGGACTGTGTATTTACCAAAGTTAAACTGTGAAGGGGCGGGAGCTTTTTTCCATGATGTACACCCCACCACACACACACACACACACACACACACACACTCAACCACAGGGGATATGCAACGACATGCTCACAGAGAGCGATCCGGTGTCATATTGTGTGGAAAACCTTCTCATGGACTGCTGCAGCAGCTATAGGTGTGATGATTAAGTGCTAAGGTTGCATTTTCTCCTGTGAGCGGGCAGCCCCGGGGCCATGAGAGGCTGCATGATTGCCTCTGTGTGCTACATTACAGTGACATGATGGAGAGCACTCCCCTGGGGCCTGAAATAATGTGCCAGGAAAGTAGGAGCAAAAAAACCCTCATCTTTTGGGACTTGAGAATTCTCTGCCTGCAATCGGATTTGCTGATAGATCTCCCCATGCCACTGCCTCGGTATTGATGACGGGCTAAACGTTCGTGCATGGGTGCACGGCTGGGCTCACCAGGGAAGTCTTCTAATCCGATTCTACTATTAGAGCCTGCGACACCCCGCTGAGTATCTTGCGCCCCTCGACTGCTCCAGTTCACCCTAACACAGAGAGTTTAACGCTGCCGTGGGCACACGGGCTTGTGAAGTCAACCACAGGAGGGCAATTTAGAAGGAGAATAAGAGAGACTGGTCAAATTTGGTCAAAATGTGTGAAGTAAATGCTCCTTTTTGCTTCATTCCCTTAACTAATTAGCGGAAGGCTAAAAAAAGCCCTAATTTTATAAAACTAAATCCATCAGCCGGACAAGTGGAACAAATGAGTCAAGCTCACAGTGGGAGGCAGCACAGAGTTTTTGTTTGGTTTTCAAACTTGAAGGGCAGACAATTCACAGTCACCAAGTAGCTGCAGCAGCAAACTGTACTAAAAATGTATCTACAGCGACTGTACAGAGCTAATGTAAACTTCAGCCCCCTGATAGTTTCACTTCAAGTACTGTATATAACCTGGAAGAACGCCTGCTTTTATTTGCTGAATTACAATTATTGTTTACATGAGCATTCGTCATACATTCAGCATAAGGTAGAAATTCCACTTAGTTTTTACCATGTGTTTGTCTATTCACAGCATAAAGACTACATGGCTGCAATCTAACAGTAAATCCTACAGTTATTGCCTGGGTGGAACTGATAGTTGGTTCAGGCGTAAATTTTTTGGGGGCCATCACCAAAAATAACTTTTGATAGTTTTTGCAAAAAATGTTTTAACCAATGTGTAAACTATATGTGAGATTTTTGACGATGGAAAGTTATTTGTTTCAAAGTAAAACTTCCGTCTCTGTTTTTTTCCTCTGCCAGCGATACAAGCCAAACAAGAAGCCAAAATAACAACCTTGGTGTGCTTGGATGCTACAGCACCACGTCTGTTTTTGCTCAGAGTGAATAGCAGTGCTGACAGTTTTGTGTAATTTGTCACACTGCATACAACAGAAGCAGCAAATCAAGATTTATAATCCCACTGTTTGAATGTGACCTGCATGTTTGAGAATTTACACTTTGTTTACATCCTTTTGTCTTCTTCTCTATCTCTATAAAATAACTTGATATTTACGTTTCTTTTCACAAACACAAAGATCCAATTTTGTTAGGATGAGGAGCAGATTTGAGTCTACACATATTTTCAATACTTATCCTAAAAAGAACAAATTAGTTTACTGAGAGATCACCATTTTCCTAATCTGTGAATGAATGCTGTAAATTGAAACAAGGCCAACTTTACAGTGACAACCAGGTCATCTACTTTTACAGGTAATTGTTAGGACTCAGGACACTTAACTTGAAACTGGGACAGTCAATGACCGGCCAGTGCGGCCAACGAGAACAATGAAACAGAAGAGTAGTTGGTAATAAAATGCAGTATTACATATAAAAACCCCACAGAATAAACTTGCTTCGTATAATAATCAATTTAAAAAAGAATATAGAATATCAATTGGATATACAGACACATGTTGTTTTGTCCTTGTATTTAAAAGCGAGACCTTTTAACAACATTTTCTTTAGCATCGATGAAGTGTGGAGATCCACGTATTTAGCTCCACTGGTTGATTTCTACAAAGTGAAAATCAGAGAAGGATGAGAACGAGCTCTTCTACATCATTTACTGTGCTCTACAAGAAAGCATTCATTTGTCTCTCTCTGAGTGGCAGACCTGGGGAGTCAAGATCCAACTCCTCACTACATCTGCAGGCATTCTTCCTTAGGCCCCTGGTGGCATACTCATTACTGCCATCTTTGACAAAAACACAACATTTCAACTTCAATTACACCCCCTGCCTACTTATGCATCCCATTTGTCTCCACTCCCTCTCTCCTGCAGCTCTTATGTTGCCAAACCAGAGCGCCACTATTTAACCTCCTGCACTTTCTTTCTCTTATATTCCCAGGAGAATACAGAGACGGGGCCAAAACTGAAGAGGGGCCCTCGTGTTACAATGCATATCTCACAATCATGGGTGTATCATTAATCTTATATATGGTGTGTTTACCAAATGTTTTTATGGGAACTACTCTTTGATGGAATGGAATTTTGAAAAGATTAATCACTGACTTTGAAGTACTTTATAAAATAATGATAACTTCACATCATAAAGTGAGGATATAGAATTACACCCTGTGTCTCTGGTATTGGTTCATTCTTTATTCGAATTTGTTTTATAAACCCGACCAAACGAAGTGAACGATCTGTATCTTTATAAGCTACGTTCACACTGCAGGTCTGTTGCTGATTTTTTTTATTTCGTTCTCATTATAGTTTATATGTACAGTAACTTCCATCAGGTTGTGCTTTTTACCTTATCTAAGGCTTTATATTAAATTTGATCAAATATAAATATTTGACACTATGGGCCATGTTATTCATTTCAAAATTCATTTTGATTTACCACTAACTACATTTATCTACAATCCACAATTCCTGGAACCAAACCTAAGCATTGTTCACCGATCCTATATCCCAGACACCTCTTTTATTTTCAGTGGCTGAAGCCTTTTTTTTTAGATTTTTTAAAAAGTTGAAATGTATTATACTGCACTCAACTTGAAGATAATTCCCTTTTTTATATTGTATTGACCAGAAAACTTTTAAGAGATTGGGAAAAGCTGGAGGGTGCAGACATCAGGTTATTACGTTCAATGTATCGAAGGGGCACATCAGTGGAGGGGTAAACAGAAACCTGAGGTATTATCAAATAAGAGGAGCTCCAGGAAGCCGTTTTCTCTCATTCAGCAATAGCTGAGCCCAATTTCACAGGCTGAAATGTGGCCGAATGTGAAGAAATTGGGGAAAAAAATATGAAATCGATTGCTTAGATTGCAGTTGTACTTTAACTTGTCTCTTCTGCTGTCATTTTACAGTGTTATGCAGTGTTATAGTGCATTTCCAGCCTACGCAGCACTGATATCAGCACCACAGAAATAGTATTTTTGGTTTGCAACAACCTCAGTCTGCATGTTCCACACACCACCAAAATATACACAAAAAGGATCAGACATTGACTTCATTTTTTGTGACTTTCATTCTTAGATCTATGAATAATTACTTTATTGAATGAGGTTTTAAAATAAACTATGTCCTTGAAGAGGCCTTTGATTTTAATTTCTGCTCATCATCCCCAGCACTCAGCACAAACTTGTTTTTCTAGCTTCTGATGTGTTGGGAAACTTGTTTTAAATTGAAACCTAAAAACTTTTTCTTCCAACCCCTCACACCTCACTGTACCAATGTTCAGCCCTTGAAGCAACAACCAGGAACTTACCAGTCAGTTAGAACTGAAAAAATAAAAAGGGTTGTAGAAGAGTCAAAGGTAGTGGTTGGAGAGGACCTCAAAGAGGACGGGTTGGTGGAGGTAATATATGATGAAGTTTTATTTGGTAGATATGGTGTAAAAGAGGGGATTAGATGTAGGGGCAGATGGTTGTGAACTTTGCGAAAACAATTAAATTTGCTCTTGTTTATAGGATGAGATTAATATGTGCACACATTTGGATTATATTTTATAGTGTATATTATATACTGCGAAAAGTTAAAAGGAAGAGAGTGTCCTGAAAACTGATAGAAAGCACACTATGAGGAGTTTGTTTGTGAGTTATATGAGCGATAAAGACAGACATAGGACAGATTTATAAAGGAGAGGGAATTGGTGACATACCTGTGAAGGTATGGAAATTTCAAAAAAGGGCTCTGGAATTTATGCATGGGTTGTTAACACAATCCTGAAGACCAAGAAGATGTCTTGTGAATTAAGTGTGCAAATACCAATAATCAAGTGCAAAAATGTGGTAACCACAGACGATCAGCTATACAGTAAGGATATGAGAAAAAGATACTGCAGTGAGACGAAGGTTAGTGTTGAGAGAAGGAGGAAAAGCATAAGATAAGGGAGATTAACGGCTTTAGAAAAAAACAAAACCCAAAAAAAAACAACAACACAGAGACAGTTGATGAAACAGTAAAGGAGCCAGGTATAGGGTATAGCCAGGATAGATAGAGATGAAGGTTCAAGTTTACCTTTAGAGAGCAGCTTAACAAAGAAAAAGAAGTTAGAACTTAAGAATTTGGAATGAGGTGAAACATCTCTATGAAACCTAAGACAATTATCTTGGCATAGAATATGCACTTGAGATGTCGATTTTTAACTTAATTTATTATATCGATATTTATGTAGTCTTTCTGTCTGTTTTTTCACCATAATTGGTGTTGCATCACCTGTATTTAGTCACTCTGTCACATTAACTTTTTTGATAGAACTTCTGAACTTTGGGACTACGGTATAAGGATCTGTAAAAATTCACCCAAAATATATGGAAAAAAACAACAACAAACAAAAACAAAACAAGACATAAATATGTTGATAGTCATCAACTGACGTTAACTTGTATTCCTTCACTTTTTAATGAAAGATGATTGGCTGTGAAGTTGGACTATGATTGGCTGTTAGACGCGGCATGTCTCTGTGATTGGCTGATCGTTGTTTCCGGGGCTTCGCTGTGCTCTCACTGACGTTTGACGGTGTGTAACTCCAGCCGAGAGACCGATAGAGCGGAGAGAATGGCTGCCTGTGGAGGTTAGCAAAAAAGAAATCTTTGCTGTTTTTTGTATTAGTACCATTCATGTAATTATGTAAAGCTTATCGTACGTGTTTTTAATTGTCTTTTTACAGAAAGTTGTTCAGCTTTGTACTAGAAAGAGCGGTGACATACTGTGTTTCTGCTTAAGCTGTGTTTAGCCTCTGAACGACTCCAAAAAAGTGTTTGCATGTCGGTAGCCTTCCTTCCTCATTGAGCAGCTAGCCGCTTTAGCTCGCACTTCCAGCTGATGGTGTAAACACTTGTTTGTGACAAGAGGCAGACAAGTTAAACTTATACACGCAGTCACCAGCAGTACGTACGTGATTGCGCAGCTAACCACAAGTAGCCAGGCCATTCATTTAAGAAAGTATTTTAAAATTCAATTCGCCGTTCAAATATCTAAATATTGTGGTAGAAAAACTGGCTAACACTAGCTCGTTGCTAAAAGTTAAGCTCACATATCACTTATGGCTAACACAGCTGCAGCGAGCTTTGTATTTTCAAGTCAAATGATAATTACAATAATAACAATAATGGCAATTACCAAATTATACATGTTTCGTCTAACTTGTATATTTTTCTAATTTACTCCACTTAGGCCCCTGGAGTGGCTTTGCGCAGAGTTAGCCGGTTAGCTACCACCTGGCGAGACAGTACTTTCTCTATTCAGTCGCCGACACTCTTTGTCCTGTCATAACACGAGGTTTTTCTTGTTACAGTTCCTTGCTGCTCTAGAGATCCTGTTTAGATGTAGGTGTGGTAAAGCATTAAATTTGATTCTCGTGTAATCTGTGATGACACATGTGATGGGATGATCTTTAAATCGTGTAACACGAAAGCACGGGATTTAAAGGCCAGTTTCTTAGCAAGTCAGTGACAACAGACACGAAAAACTGTATCTTAGTCAGAATAAATAACTAAACATGGCTTCTTGTGAAAAATAGCCACAGTTGTTCCACATGTATTTGAATAAACAAATGTTTTTGAGCAGTTTTAAATTACAAATTGGTGTTTTGTAAAGAACATAGCTTCTATTCTTTCTTTGCTGTTGAAAGTAATTTACATTGGACCCCACCCTGTTGAAAGTAATTTACATTGGACCCCCCCAACAAACAAAAAAACAAACATCACAGACATGTTTGAGCCACAAATTAATCAGTGACATCAGTCATGCCTGTGGTGACAGAAAGGCTTGCCTGCTGAAAATATTGATCAGCTACTGATCTACTGTGCAACTGTATACCTTCTCTTAAGTTTGGAAACTCTTAAAAATGGTGTCCTATTTTATAAAAAAAGTATACAAATAATATAAAAATATATTTGAAAAATTAGCACCTATGGTTTAGCCTTCTATCATTTTGAAATGTGTCAAAAGTTTAATTTTTGATCTTGTCATTTTAAAAAGATTTCATGGCTACAAGTAAGCAAAAAGGAACTTTGGTCAAATCTGCAATCTGGGTTTAGACTGGAGACCATGAATAAGCGATAGAAAAATCAATGACCCCAAGTGTAACCATAGAAAAATAATATAACTGATTATACATTTTAGGTAAATTTATCACTATTCATCTTGTGCAGTTTTGGTCATTTTCGATTGCTTTACCCAGCAATTAATATAATGTTGTTTATTTCCTCCATACCCCTATAAAAATTGAAATTCATTGCTGGTTCAAATACCTTTGGTAAATTATCTAACTGCTTCACCATCTATTCAATTTCTACCAGAAGCAACATAATTAATTTATCAAATTGTTTCACCATTCACTTTCATAACATATTTAGATAAACAGCTCCTTATTTTCAATTATTGGGCTATTCCTCAGCTCCATTATATGCAACACATTGTGAAAAACATTTTTTATTTAATTTCATCCGTAAAAACACATTTAGGAACGGTAAAGTTTAAGAAGTTTATTAACGGCCCAGTTGATGCAACTGCAGATCCCCTTTTGAGTTCTGTTTTCTCACTGAAAAAATACTATGGTTAGTAATTCTATGATAATCACTGTTTTAATGTCCTTTACCACTAAATACTAAAACAAAACTTAAATGTAACAAGTCACTGACTATTTTAGCAGTTATATTCTCTTGCTTTTTTTCATTCTTACTCTCATTTTGTCTCTTCAGAGGTAGTGAAACTGTCACAAGTACAAAATGGAACACCTCCAGCAACCAACTACAATGGTGTAGATGCTGTCCATGCCTGTAACATCCTTCAACAGCTCAAGGCCTTATACGATGAAGCACAGCTCACAGACATTGTTGTAGAAGTGGACCATGGCCAGACATTCTCATGTCATCGAAATGTCCTTGCAGCAATCAGTCCATATTTTAGGTAAGTAAACAGAACTGTGACTGGCAGTAAAAGGCATGTATAATTAATAAGTGCATGTTTAAAAAAAGATCTGATGATTTTCTTTGAAAAGCCTACTAACAAAATTCTGGCTAATTTTAACTTATTGCTTAGTTTTCATACCAACTATCAGACATACGTATCAGCTTGTCTTCATCAGTATACATTTTTGTTGAACTACTATTACCTCTATCACTAAGGTAAATATAAGATGTATATGATTATGTAAAACAGATCTCAACTTGTGAATTAAAAAAACTTGATATAAAAATACATAAGTGACACAGATCTATCCAAACCAAGGTGGCCGATCACTAAAATTTTAAGAGAATATTTTATTAGCAAGAGGACTTTGGTAATGAATTAATTACTTTCCCTCCGTCTTTTCCCCTTACTGATAAAATGTTAGGCTGTTCCAGTACGTTTTTGTTGCAGGTGTGAAAAAAAACTCTAGCACATTCAAAACCAATGTTTCTTTATGTACTCAACAGGTCCATGTTCACCAGTGGCCTTACAGAGAGCAGCCAACGGGAGGTCAAAATTGTTGGGGTGGAATCTGAATCCATGCACCTTGTCCTGGACTATGCATATACCTCACGGGTCACTCTCTCAGAATCAAATGTCCAGGCCCTGTTTACTGCAGCCAGCATTTTCCAGATCCCCGCACTACAGGACCAGTGTGCCCAGTTCATGATCAGCCGACTTGATCCACAGAACTGTATCGGGGTTTACATGTTTGCTGATGCATATGGACACCAGGAGCTGAGGGAGCGCTCACAAGACTACATCCGCAAAAAGGTTAGTTCACAAGAACTTAGGTCTCCTGACAAGGCTTATTCCTACTTTTTTGTTTAACTAAAATGCTTTACTATACATCTTATAACAGTACAGTGAGCTGCTAAAACCATAAATGTCGTATGATTTTGTGGCAGTTCATATGTGTGTCCCGGGAGCAAGAGTTTCTTCAGATGACCAAGGAGCAGCTGGTCAGCATTTTGAACAACGATGACCTGAACGTCGAAAAAGAAGAACACGTCTATGAAAGCATCGTCCGCTGGCTTGAGCACGACCTGCATGGTCGCGAAACCCACTTAGCTGAGGTGTTCTCCCAGTGCATTCGCCTGCCCTTGTTGGACGAAGCATTCCTTAGTGGAATACCTGCCCCGTTTGCTTGTGCCCTGTCTCTGTCTGAAGACCCAGTGGAGGCCAAAGCCCGCCTTACTGGCAATAATGGCTGCCCGCAGCGTTTGGGCATGACGGCTTCTGAGATGGTGATTTGCTTTGATGCTGCTCACAAGCACTCAGGGAAGAAGCAGACAGTGCCTTGCCTTGACACAGCAACAGGAAGGGTGTTCAAACTCAGCAAACCTCCCAATGACCTCAGAGAGGTCGGCATATTGGTGACATCTGAGAATGACATTTATATAGCAGGAGGTTACAGGCCAAGCAACAGCGAGGTGTCTATAGACCATAGAGCAGAGAGTGACTTCTGGCAGTATGAACACTCAGGCAACCGTTGGCTTCCACGTGCACCTCTGCTCAGAGCAAGGATAGGCTGTAGGCTAGTGCACTGCTGTGGGAGACTTTTCGCACTGGGGGGTCGGGTTTACGAAGGTGATGGCCGCAATGCATTGAAGTCAGTAGAGTACTACGACGCAAGGGACAACTGTTGGACAGCAGTTAGTCCAATGCCAGTTGCAATGGAGTTTCACAGTGCTATAGAGTACAAAGACAGGATCTTTGTCCTCCAAGGTAAGCTGTCTTTTTAAGATGTAAAAATAAATAATAAAATGTATCAGTTGTTGTCTGTAACACAACCCAGAAAGTTGTGACAAAACAAAACTCTAAGCAAAAAAATAATAATCATAATTTAGATATGCAAACCCTGGAATTACTTTGGGCTTGTGGCATTTATCACATAACTACTGAGATGGAAACGCACACGGTCCAGAGAGTACTTGAAAAACTATTATTGCCTAACAGACTTTTGTTACTTTTTCAATGGTGATACATTTAGCTCAACTAAAGGATTTGTTGATAAACAGTTTTATGTTGGAAGCCTTGCAAATATTTGTAAAAAAAGCCCAAGCTTGAGGCCAAAGAAAATGTGTTTTGTGCTTAGATAAGTATGTGTTTTTGTTTTACCATGTCAAATGTAAGGTGCCACCAAAAAAATAAAAATAAAATCATCCAAATTGTTTGTATGGAAAAGTAACAAGTACTTTTGGTGTAGGACAGAATAAGGGAAACTCTTAACTCAAGACTTTTTCACACCTTACAATGGCATAGCCTTGTAGTAATGTTTAGGACCAGGTTTGGTATTATTATAGATTTTGAAAATTAATTGGACTCTATCTAGAAGATGTATAGGTTGTACCATGTATGTTTGAATTTTGACCATACTAGTAAAATGAATGTGTTTTTTTCTTTTAACACAGGTGAATACTTCTTTTGCTATGATCCACGTAAGGACTACTGGAGTCACCTACCCTCTATGGGTGTCCCTCGGAGTCAAGGGCTGGCTGCCCTGTACAAGAACTTCATCTATTACATTGCTGGCATTTGCAGAAATCATCAGCGGACCTTCACCGTGGAGGTCTATGATATCGAGAAGGGTATGTGGTGCCGTAAGAGGGATCTGCCTTTTGACCATGCCACAAGCCCATACATCAAGGCAATGCTTCTACAGGGCAAGCTTCACCTGTTTGTACGAGCCACACAGGTCATGGTGGAGAAGAACGTGTTTCGCACCAGCCGTAAAAACTCCCTTTATGGGTATGATGACAAGGCTGACTTATGGACCAAAATCTATGAGACACCAGACCGCCTCTGGGATTTGGGTCGCCATTTTGAATGTGTGGTGGCCAAACTGTATCCACAATGTCTACAGAAAGTGCTTTGAAGTAGCTCTTTTACTTACCCAGTCTCAGAGGCAGCTGGAAGAGTGTTGGTCCTGCCTGCCTTTTGCCTCATGTTCCCTTTGGTTTTTACCATCAGGATCTTTTTCTTTGGTTAAGTCTTAAGTTGTTTAGAACTTTGATATAACATGATCAAATTGGGGTGCTTTTAAAGATAACAGTATTCTTTTTCCAGACAGCTCAAACAACCCACACAGATGCTTGTTTAACAAAAACATACAATGAAACACAAGTGCAATTACTCCTCTTTTTTCCTTCTTTTTGAGCCAATTTAACCATTTAGTTTTAGATGCATATAGGCAAGGATTTCTATAAATGATAGGCATGCAAAGGAGGGTATAGGAATAAAACAGTGCCCTCTAGAGATGTGGATGCTATGTGTCAGCAGAATTTGAAAATCTATATATAAGTAACTATAAACTATATATTCATACGGGTAAGATATGTACCATAGCTTAATTGAAGTTTGACTCTGAGGGTTTGGTCTCTTTAGCTAGTTTTATAGGTGAGAAATTTGAAGTGCTCTTGTGATTTTTCATTACCAGTAGTGTTTGTTTTTGGGCTTGATGATTTGCCATTGCCCCATTTCCTACACAAATGTCAGTGTGTCAATCAATACACTATATTAGAGTTCAGAGTTAAATTTGTGATGACACTAAAAGGATAACAAAGTTTAGACCATCCTTAACATCTTTACCTCAGAAACTTCATAGATGTTTGATTAGGAAAGGAAAAGGGACATTACAGGTCGTAATGTTAATTAAGTGGGTGAGTGAAAATACTTATTTCAGCACTGAGCTCTCTGAAGTTGATATTCAACACCAGATTTTATGTTTAGGAACAAGAATTACACAAGCTTTTCTTGCAAATGCCTAAAAAGCATTAAAGGTTTTGTTTAATGTTGACCTGGACAGATTTTCATTGTAGCAATAACTCATGGAACTGGGCAGTTTTAAGCTTTTACCTTAGTAAAGGTGCATTTTCTTTTTTTTACCTATCCCTCTGCTGCATATAAGAGCGGATGTAGTCTTCTGGTTTGACTTCAAAATTAAAAATGAGAGCACCTGGTAATGGACTAGCCTTCATTTCAAGGGGAATAGAAGCACTCCTAATATTTTTATGCTATAGAAACAGCATAAACATTGATTGGCTGTTCTTTTGGTGAGCGTTCCATTGGGAAGCAAACACAAGACTCTATGTCCAAATGACAGGTTGCAGGCAGTGTCTGTGGACAGCCCTAGAGACTGAACCTCATTTTTCAATCATCTACATCTATTTGTATATGCAGTCTATGGTGTGTTCAGGTGAAAATCACAAAGAGTCCAATATTTGTTTGGCTGTGGGATTACTTACATTATGTTCAAATACGTTTTTGAAAAGACATTTCTTGTCCTCTTGGTTTTAGAAACTGCCAACACTTTTGTGTCAGTGTCTCCATGGAAACATAAATCCGTGTATTTTCAGTGACTAAACCAACAAATTGAATGTGACACATGGAAAAATTCATGGAATTCAAAAACAACATAATGTCGCTGTCTTCTTTTACTTGTGGGCCTAGAGTGAAAGTCTAAGCCACAAATGCAGCACCCCTTCCTGGAACACTTGGTAACTGCTTCAGAAAGTCAGAGGTGTGCTTGAATGGGTTTTTGTTGACCTGTATATTTTAACTTCACATGTTTGAAATATACATAATTTCAGGCCAAATCCAATATACCTGTGGTTCACAAAGACGTTTTAGAAGGAGAAAAATTCTCCTGATCAAGAGCATCTGAAATGTCTTGCTCGTTGCCCCACCCATCTCCAGCTTCAGTAACCATTCACTGCAGATTTTATGAACATTAACCAATGGGCTTAGCCCATATTGGTGTACGCCTTTGTCTGTCGTGACCATGGATTTGTCTGGACCTGCCATCACACGTTGACAACACAAACTGTTGGTGCTGCTTTTTGTTTTACTTTTTCATTTTTGACAATCTTGGACAGACTTGGGAATGCCACAACTGAGTGGTGTCCTCTGTCGAAGTGTGACATTTCTCTGTTCCTCATGCAGGTTCCTGTGTCATCTTTGCACTACGCATGTATCATTAGTTTTATATCTGCAGAATACCCCCTTAGATTATTATTAAGAATAAAGAATGGGTCTTAGTAACCAGCACAGCAATCATTAAAGAACTTTACGTGGAAATGGAAACTAGAAGAGTTGTCAGAAAGGACTTGATGTTAAAGCTTCTCCAAGAGAAGATCCACTGTTTGATTGAGTGAACTCTGAATAAATAATGACCTCATCAAGGGTTAGAGGTTCATCCACATGTTGACAGATCGCCATTTGAGAACTCTCAGGATTTCTACTGATAACACAGTACTGTATTTAAATGTTCTTTTGTTACGTGTAATATACTGTACTATAGGTTTTGCTGTACTTGCACAGTTTTTTTAAACTTCAGTTGTTTTATAACTTGAAAAAAATAGATGTGATTTTCGTTTGTCTTCAGTGGCTGTTATATGTTTTTATTTACATAATGACATATTTAGATGAATTAGTGCGATTTTTGCTTTGCCGAGAAAAAAATCCTCTCGAGTGATACATTTTGAATTTCTTTGTTTTTCCTTCTCGTTTTCTGTAGTACAGTAGTTTTGTTCTAGTCTTTCTAACATCTCACCAAAACTAAGCATTACAAATCAACAGATAAAACAGCTATTATTCTTGGGTCATGTTTCAAACACCAGTCACATAAAACAACAAGCTATAAAAGTTCTATCTGAGTGGCCTCAAGGCTGTCTCGGCTTTTATTCTGGTCAATTGTGCATCGTTTAAAGGTGCTATTTCATTATGTTCCTCGTGCATTTCTTGTCTCAGTTTAACATTGCTACATTTTGTTTTTCCTTTTTGTGTGTTTTTTTTTTTTTAGGTTTGGGTTGTGGTTGAGCTCAACTGTGAAATTCACATTGCACATAATTTGAAAATAAAACTATTAAATATATGTTATGTTATATGTCCTTTATATTTTATTTTACTATTTAATTTTAACAATAGGACTAAGGGTGAGAATTTCTCTCCCCAAAAAGGTATTTCATCAGAACAAATACTACATTTAGTAATAAATTGACCAATGAGGCCTTGTTAATCCCCCTATCGCATAAAAACATGGATAGAATACTGAAATTTCAATTATTTAAAGAAAAAATAAAATAAAATTACAGCCGACACAAATTGAATTCAATCGAACAAAGAATATTTGTACTGTTTTTAATTACATTACACAATTTATGTGAAAACCTAAAACAGTTCTAGCGAACTAATAATGTGTCTTAGAGGGGGCGCAATCTAGGGAAAACAAGTAACAACAAATCACACATGTATTTATTCATTTATTTATTCATTTATTTACAGACTAGTAAAGAGGAAACTGACGGAAACTGACACAGCCCCCTCGGACTTCCACGTGTCACGTGAGTATAGAAAACAGCTGCAACTTTGTGGATACGTTACATTTTTTTGTATTCTCTTGGTAAAGGCACTCGGACAAGGTAAGCTGCTGTATCGAGCTTACTCAAAATTACAATCGTAAATTAGATAACTCGTTTGTGATTGAAAGCGAAGACCCTTTCTACTCAATGTGATTGATTTGTGCGGAAATGTTTCCACGTGGTTCCAGTTCGTTTCATTTGAAACACATTTTCCCCGTCAAAGCTACCGACACGAACAGAAGCATTTTAAGACATGCAAGCATTTATTTGATCAACTTTTGTAACAAGTTTTGTAATCGCAACGCATTGAAGTCAGTAGATTACTACGACGCCAGGGACAATTGTTGGACAGCAGTTGTTTCACTATACAGCTAAACAACTGAAACTACTACTTTGCCACTGAATCTTGACAAATAAATGAACTTATACTACTTATTCCCGGTTTAAGCCCAACCTTTAAGCAGCGGTTTCAACCAGCGACCAGGGGCAAGTATCGTGCCATGGCTCATTTATTAGCGAACTGCACAGGATGAAAAACGCGCTCGGGTAACTTTTTTTCCTGCATCAACTACTCCTAGTCTGTGGCTGTAATTGAAAAGCCAGGATACATTTTTGTAGCGCCCCAAATGCTCTTGTTATTATAAGTTTGATGAAATGTCAGATATCTACATGGCCATTAACTAAGCCACCGGTAACCACTCAATCTGATTTTACATTTAACAGAAGCATGGCACCTACAGCTGCAGCAAAATTGGGCTACAAACCCCCTGATGGAGGCTGGGGCTGGATGGTGGTGCTGGGAGCTCATATTTCCATTGGATTTGCTTATTCTACGCCAAAGGTTCTGTCCATTTTCTTTAAAGCTATTCAAGAGGACTTGAAGGCCAGCTCCAGTAAGATAGCCTGGATTTCCTCCATCATGCTGGCAGCTATGTACGCAGGAGGTGAGTTGCCATGCAGAATTAAAACAAATGTTAATTCTAGTGTAATGTAATGTGATTAAACCTTGCCTTGACTACAAACATCAAATGTGATTGTGATGTGAACTCACTAATATGAGAAAATAGACTTCACATGACCTTGTGACAACTAAAATTACTTAAATGAGTTGTGTTGGTAGCATGTACTACTCGCCTGACTTAGATTTAACTGCCCTTTGTAATTGCTCTTTTATACGTCAGTCCTGTTGTTCCTTTGAAAAGATTAAATTTTGAAAAAACATTTTTCAAAATGTCATCTTTAATGTTCTGACCAGCATTTTAGTTTTTGACCAAAGATGACACGAAATGTTGGCATTTTGACAAAAAGTTTTATAGAAATATTTTTAAAAAAAGTTCTCTAAATGCCCTATTTTTATGAGAAACATGGAGAAAACATAACTTTTTATTCATTTTACAAAGATCTTTGTCAAAATTTTAGTTTTTGACCAACAATGATACAAAGTTCACATTTTAACAGAATATTTTATAAATTAAATTTTTAATTTTTTTTCTAAATGCCCTAATTTGATGAGAAACATGGAAGAAAAGATAGATTTTTGAAAAATAATTTTACACATTTTCATCAAAATGTTTGTTTTTGATCAAAAATAACACAAAGTTCACATTTTGACCAACAGTTTTATAAAAGTAAATTTCTAAAAATGTTCTCTAAATGCCTTAATTTTATGAGAAACATGGATGAAAAGATACAATTAAAAAAAAAAAAATTTACAATACTTTTCGTCAAACTTTTTCAGTTTTTGACCAAAAATGACATGAAAAGTTCACATTTTTACAGATAATTTTATTAAAATAAATTTCTAAAAATGTTCTCTAAATGCCCTAATTTGATGAAAAACATGCAGGGAAAAACACAATTTTTAAAAATAATTTTACAAAGATTTGTCAAAATGCATTTAGTTTTTGACCAAAAATGACACAAAGTTCACATTTTGACAGAAATTGTATTCAAATATTCTTAAAAATGTTCCCTAAATGCCCTAATTTGATGAGAAACACGGAGGAAAAAGTACAACTTTGAAAAATATACTTTTTTAAATCCAAAAAAATAGAAATTTCCCGAAATGCCTAAAAATGCAAGATTGTGCCCTATACATGCTGCGAAGTGAATATTTTGTGTTTAGAACTCCAAAAATATCTAATATGAATATTTCAAAAATCATCAAAAACATGCCTTACGCCTTACCATCTTGAAAAGATCCAAAATTATTTTACAAAATTACAAAAAAAATCATCAAAATCTTTTAGTTTTTGACCAAAAATGATACGAAATGTTGTCATTTTGACAAAGTTTTATAGAATTGTTTTTTTTTAAAGTTCTCTTAATGCCCTATTTTTATGAGAAACATGGAGAAACACATACAACTTTGACAAATAATTTTACAAAGATTTGTCAAAATGTATTTAGTTTTTGACCAACAATGACAAAAAAGTTCACGTTTTGACAGGATATTTTATAAAAATTTAATTTTTAAAAATATTTTCTAAATGCCCTAATTTGATGAGAAACATGGAGGAAAAGATAGATTTTTTAAAAAAAAATAATTTTACACAAATTTTCATTACAATCTTTTAGTTTTTGACCACAAATGACACAAAGTTCACATTTTGAGAGAATATTTTTTAAAAATAAATATCTAAAAATGTTTTCTAAATGCCTTAATTTGATGATAAACATGGAGGAAAAGATACAACTTTGAAAAATAATTTTACAAAGATTTGTAAAAATGCATTTAGTTTTTGACCAAAAATGACACAAAGTTCACATATTTACAGAATATTTTATCAAATTAAATTTTTAAAAATGTTTTCTAAATGCCCTATTTTGATGAGAAACATGGAGGAAAAGAGATTTTTGAAAAATAATTGTACAATATTTTTCATCAAATTTTTTTTTTTTTAGTTTTTGATCAAAAACAACACTAAGTTCACATTTTGAACTCTCTCTTGGTGATTTTTGAAATATTCATAT